TCGCGGCCCGAGGTGTCCTGTGCGTAGCGATGTGCTCGCATATGCGACGTCGTTCGACGTCTGTCGTTCGTAATTCGGGATCGTTTCGTTCGTCGTTCGGTCGTTTTGGTCGCCGTTCGTCGGTCGTCGTCCGTCGTCCGACGTCGTCGTCGTCGCCGTCGTCGTGTTCGTACCTCGTTTGTGGTTGCTCGTCTTTCAGGGGACGCGACGCGCACCATCCTCTCCCTATTAATGGGGCTGCGTGGAAGGAGCTGGCTTTCGGGCGCAGCCGAGGCAGGGTGAGGGGGGGGGCTGGGGCACGAGCATCGCGCAGCGCGCACGCGCACAGCACATAGAACGCACTCACTGTCTTTCCCTCTCTCTCTCTGTCTATCTCGCTCTCGCTAACTCGATCGCTCTCTCATTCTCTCCCTCCCTCATTCTCTCCCTCCCTCCCTCTCTCTGTCTTTCTCCCTCCCCCCCTCCCTCCCTCCCTCCCTCCCTTCCCCCCCCTCCCTCCCCTCGCCCCCCCTCCACATTTCTCTGCCAGTGCCCACTGGCTGCCCTCCCCCTTTACATCTCCCCCTGGGGTGGGGGAGGGTGGAGGGTGGGGCTGCCGTCCATCGAGGAGACCAACAGCCAGCAGAGGAGAACAACGAGGAAAATGAGGAGAAAGAGGAGGAGGAGGAGGAGGAGGAGGAGGAGGAGGAGGAGGAGGAGGAGGAGGAGGAGGACGACGATTCCCCCTCCAGGGGCGCCTGGAGGTTCATTGAATTACGCTACCGAGGAACCCCACATACTCAATTTAAATCTTATGTGCTTGCTTAAGTTTATAATATATGCGCAATTCTGCGTTCTCAGCCCTCGTCGCGAATGTTCCCCTCTGTGTCATCCAACGCCGTATTGCTTGAGCCTCCTTCCTCTTCCTAGCCTTCTATCCTCCATCAAGGACAGATTCGAGCCAGCCAGCGGCCGCGCTCAGGGACCACCCCCTGCGCACCCCCTATGGTGTCTAGAAAGTGCCACGCCTGCTATGCCTGGACGACTGGCACGTATAGCGGCCGCGCTCAGGGACCACCCCCTGCGCACCCCCTATGGTGTCGAGAAAGTGCCACGCCTGCCATGCCTGGACGACTGGCACGGATAGCGGCCGCGCTCGGGGGCCACCCCCTGCGCACCCCCTATTGTGTCGAGAAAGTGCCACGCCTGCTATGCCTGGAAGACTGGCACGGATAGCGGCCGCGCTCAGGGACCACCCCCTGCGCACCCCCTATGGTGTCGAGAAAGTGCCACGCCTGCTATGCCTGGACGACTGGCACGGATAGGGGCCGCGCTCGGGGGCCACCCCCTGCGCACCCCCTATTGTGTCGAGAAAGTGCCACGCCTGCTATGCCTGGACGACTGGCACGGATAGCGGCCGCGCTCAGGGACCACCCCCTGCGCACCCCCTATGGTGTCGAGAAAGTGCCACGCCTGCTATGCCTGGACGACTGGCACGGATAGCGGCCGCGCTGGGACCACCCCCTGCGCACCCCCTATGGTGTCGAGAAAGTGCCACGCCTGCTATGCTCTGGACGACTGGCACGGATAGCGGCCGCGCTCAGGGACCACCCCCTGCGCACCCCCTATGGTGTCGAGAAAGTGCCACGCCTGCTATGCCTGGACGACTGGCACGGATAGCGGCCGCGCTCAGGACCACCCCCTGCGCACCCCTATGGTGTCGAGAAAGTGCCACGCCTGCTATGCCTGGACGACTGGCACGGATAGCGGCCGCGCTCAGGGACCACCCCCTGCGCACCCCTATGGTGTCGAGAAGTGCCACGCCTGCTATGCCTGGACGACTGGCACGGAGCGGCCGCGCTCAGGGACCACCCCCTGCGCACCCCCTATGGTGTCGAGAAAGTGCCACGCCTGCTATGCCTGGACGACTGGCACGGATAGCGGCCGCGCTCAGGGACCACCCCCTGCGCACCCCCTATGGTGTCGAGAAAGCGCCACACCTGCTATGCCTGGACGACTGGCACGGATAGCGGCCGCGCTCAGGGCGCACCCCCTATGGTGTCCTGCCTGCTATGCACGACTGGCACCTCAGGACCACCCCCTGCGCACCCCCTACGAGAAAGTGCCACGCCTGCTATGCTGGACGACTGGCACGTAGCGGCCGCGCTCAGGGACCACCCCCTGCGCACCCCCTATGGTGTCGAGAAAGTGCCACGCCTGCTATACGATATAGCGGCCGCGCTCAGGGACCACCCCCTGCGCACCCTATGGTGTCTGCCACGCCTGGTGCCTGGACGAGATAGCGGCCGCGCTCAGGGACCACCCCCTGCGCACCCCTATGGTGTCGAGAAGGTGCCACGCCTGCTATGCCTGGACGACTGGCATAGCGGCCGCGCTCAGGGACCCCCCCCTGCGCACCCCCTGTGGTGTCTAGAAAATGCCACGCCTGCTATGCCTGGACGACTGGCGGATAGCGGCCGCGCTCAGGGACCACCCCCTGCGCACCCCCTATGGTGTCGAGAAAGTGCCACGCCTGCTATGCTGGACGACTGGCCGGATAGCGGCCGCGCTCAGGGACCACCCTGCGCACCCCCTATGGTGTCTAGAAAGTGCCACGCCTGCTATGCCTGGACGACTGGCACGGATAGCGGCCGCGCTCAGGACCACCCCCTGCGCACCCCCTGTGGTGTCGCCACGCCTGCTATGCCTGGACGACTGGCACGGATAGCGGCCGCGCTCAGGGACCACCCCCTGCGCACCCCCTATGGTGTCCACGCGTCTGCGCACCCCCTATGGTGTCTAGAAAGTGCCACGCCTGCTATGCCTGGACGACTGGCACGGATAGCGGCCGCGCTCAGGGACCACCCCCTGCGCACCCCCTATGGTGTCGAGAAAGTGCCACGCCTGCTATGCCTGGACGACTGGCACGGATAGCGGCCGCGCTCAGGGACCACCCCCTGCGCACCCCCTATTGTGTCGAGAAAGTGCCACGCCTGCTATGCCTGGACGACTGGCACGGATAGCGGCCGCGCTCAGGGACCACCCCCTGCGCACCCCCTATGGTGTCTAGAAAGTGCCACGCCTGCTATGCCTGGACGACTGGCACGGATAGCGGCCGCGCTCAGGGACCACCCCCTGCGCACCCCCTATGGTGTCGAGAAAGTGCCACGCCTGCTATGCCTGGACGACTGGCACGGATAGCGGCCGCGCTCAGGGACCACCCCCTGCGCACCCCCTATGGTGTCGAGAAAGTGCCACGCCTGCTATGCCTGGACGACTGGCACGGATAGCGGCCGCGCTCAGGGACCACCCCCTGCGCACCCCCTATGGTGTCGAGAAAGTGCCACGCCTGCTATGCCTGGACGGCTGGCACGGATAGCGGCCGCGCTCAGGGACCACCCCCTGCGCACCCCCTATGGTGTCGAGAAAGTGCCACGCCTGCTATGCCTGGACGACTGGCACGGATAGCGGCCGCGCTCAGGGACCACCCCCTGCGCACCCCCTGTGGTGTCGGTCGTGGATAGCGACCGAGCTGAGAGACCACCCCCTGCGCACCCCCTGTGGTGTCGAGAAAGTGCCACGCTTGCTAGGCTTTGCGCCAGTGCCACGAGCTGTGCTGTGCTGTGCTGAGCTGAGCCGTGCTGGGCTGTGCTGAGCTGTGCTGTGTGCTGAGCTGAGCTGTGTGAGAAGGAGAGAGAGGGGAGGAGGAGACGCGGGTGAGACGCGGAAGGGAAGAAAACCATAACCCCACGAAGCATGTGGGGAACAACCAACGACCTCCAATGCAAATAGCCCCTCTTCCTCCTCCTCCTTCTTCTCCTCTCCTCCTCCATCCCTTCTCCTTATAACCAAGTCCTCCCTGTCGCACCCCGAGGCCTGCTGATAGGGCGGAAGAGGCGTTTCGACTGAAACGTCCTCACGTTTCTTGTGCTGAAGCTGGAGGCCAGCAAGAATTCCACAGATGGTGGGCGGGCCGTTTTCAAAATGCGGCCCTCGCCTCGGCGCCGCGCACACTCGTCTTAAAATACGTAAGGCGTTTCACGGATGGTGGACGGGCCGTTCTCAACATGTGGCCCTCGCCTTGGCGCCGCGCACAACCGTTTTGAAACAGACAAGGGCTTCACGGATGGAGGGCGGGCCGTTCTCAACATGTGGTTCTGGCCCTGGCGCCGCGCGCCTTCGTCCAAACCGTATCTTTAAGGTTTGCAAGGATTTCACGGATGGAGGGCGGCACCTCTTCAACGTGCGGCTCTCGTTTTAGCGCCGCGCACATTCGTCCTAAACGTTTGCAATCAAAATGCGGCTCTCGCTTGGGCGCCGCGCATCTTCGTTTTCGGAGTTCACAGCAGTCTCAAGGAATCAAGCACTTGACGTCCCAGAAATGGCGTTCTGGCACGATGTCAGATGAAAAGCGACAACATTTACGTTGATTCGCGGTTCTGAAAGTCCCAAGAATGGTGCTCTGGCACTATTCAGGTTCGTCAGGGTGCAACGGCAATGTGGATTCGCGGCGTTGAAATCCCAGGACGGGTGTTCTCGCACGGTTTAAAAGTTGTAATACGGTTGTCTCCAGACGGGGCCAATGAAAGAAAGTGAATCCTTGTAGGGACTTCCGAGGAGGGAACTTGGAGGGAGGGTCTATTGCAACATCGTTGATGGATCTTGGGTTTACACTGGTCCTCCTTCTTCTCCTCCTCCTCCTCCTCCTCCTCCCCCTCCTCCTCCTCCTCCTGATCCTCATCCTCGCCATCCTTCACCTCCCCCTCCTCATCGTCCTTTGACACGGTGCGGTTGGCTCAGGGCCGCGCTGTGGAGGCAAAAAGGTCCTCTCTGGTGGGCCTCTTCTGGGGGTTGTCGGCAGGACCGTCGGACCTCTCCCCTCTGTCTCTCTCTTAATGACGTGCGATCCTCATCGTCCTTTCCCCTTCTTCCTCTTGTCCTCCTCCATTTTATCCTCCTTCCCCTCCTCTTCCTCCTCCTCCTCCTCCTCCTCCTCCTGCGCGCCAGGGGCGGCCCGGGACCTGTGGGCCGACCGCGGGGTGGAAGATGTGCGAGTCGAACGCCACCGCCATGGAGACCGCGTCCCGGCCTCGGCAAGGTGCCGCATGCACGCCCCCGAGGCCACTTCCTTCCCGTTTTGTCTACCCGTCATGCACGGAAGGCGTGTATTCCTTTATCCTATAAGGCCACATCCGAAGCCCTGCCTGGCAGATACACAATGCCGGACCACGCCGTCACAGCACCCCACAGAGCTCCATGAAAACCCTAATATGACTCCAGATGCCCCCATTCCCTGTGCCCGGTGACCTCAACAAGCCTCTTCGACCATCTTCGGGGCTTCGGTAAGTATATATATATATACACACATTTCTATAAACAAGACTGCATTGGCGCTTCGCGCCATGCCCATTGGTCCTTTGAGTTTCGCGCGTAGGCGGCGTGCGTACGCGTGTACATTCGCGCATGAATCTGCGCATGCTTGTGTACACGCGCACGCGCATGCACGTTGTTCACATACATACATGCGTGCATACATACATATATGCATACTACATACATGCATGCATACAACCATGCATACATACATACGTACAAACAGACAGACATACACACGCACACATGCATACATGCATGCATGCACGTACATAATAGCTATGTATATATGGATACGTGGATATGCATACATGTGTATGTGTATGTGTCTGTCGCTGTACATGTATAGCGTCGAACTTTGAGTGCGCACACATGTGTACCATGTCTAGTGTAGATGTCTAGGTGTACATACATGTCTGTCTGTATGTATGTATGTATTCATGAACACATACATAGCCACGCGCCTGCGCGCGCGGGAAGTAACGATCAATTCGCCAGCCCAACGGGCCAGAGCAGTGCTAGGAGCTCTGGTAACACGTCTAAGAAAAATTAAGTTTGCGCGCGCATGGCGGCCCCTGGGGCGCCCAGTCCGAAAAATTCCCGGGCACTGTTGTTTAAGGGTGCCAAAATTCCAGCATCGTCTGAGGGCCACAAAAGGCCCCCAATACAGTCCAAGAGGGGTCCGAATCCGGACGGCCCAAAAGGCCTCCAAAACGCCCCAAGAGACCTCCAAGAACACTTCCAAGAGGGACCAAGGGGCAAGCACCAGGGCCTCTTTGGGCATGTATATATATATATATATATATGTGGTGGAGTCTTCCACCAAGGTCTCCAACGTGTCTTTGCTGTTTTATCTTGGGGATGTTCTTCGGCACGCCTCTTTGTCGAATTTCTTCGTAACGCCGATACAACGAGAATCATGTTGTAAGAGCGCCACATAAGGAATCCTTGTCTAACGGCGCCACAAAAGGAATCATTTTGTATGGCCGCCACAAAAAGAATCCTTTTGTATTGCCGCCACAAAAGGGAACCTTTTGCAAGGCCACCACAAAAAAACATCCCTTTGTAGGGCCGCCGCGAAAGGAGTCCCTTTGCAGGGCCGCCGCAAAAGAAATTCCTTTTGTAAGGCCAATAGAAAAAAAGGAATCCTTTCGTAAGGCCGCCACACAAGGAATCCCTTTGTAAGGGCGCTAATCTTTGTTCGGGAGCCAACAGCGGAAAACCAGGAAAACAAGGAAAACACAGCGAAAAACAAGGAAACACCAAAACAAATGTGAAATCACAGCCAACAAGCCAGCAACAATGAAAGCCACAGGAACCATATGAACACACAGAAAGAAAACAATGAAAACACAAGAAGACCTGTGTGTTTCAAACCTTTTGTGTGGTTACCATTGTTTTTTGTTGTTGTGTTTTCATACGTTTTAAATGGTTTTCAATTTTTATTGGCTATGCTTTTGATATCTTTTCTTTGGGTTTGGAAGCTTTTGTTGTGTTTTCATATTTGGCTTTGGTTATCATTGTTCCTGGCTGTGTTTTCAAACGTTTTCCGTTGTTGTCATTGTTTTTTTTCATGTGTTGCCATATGTTTTCATTGGTTTTCATTTTTGGCTGTTTTTTTTCATAGTATTTTAATGTTTCTCCTTGTTTTTCGGTGTGTTTTCCTTGCTTTCCTTTGTTTTCCCGGTTTTCCGCTGCTGGCTCAGAAAGAACACTAGCGCCCTTACGAACGGATAACTTTGGGGCGGCCTTACAAAAGGAATACTTTTGTGGCGGCCTTACAAAACGATTCTTTTTGCGGCGGCATTACAGAGAGATTATTTTCGCGGCCGGCGGCCTTACAAAAGGATCCCTTTTCCGGCGGCCCAGACGCACCCTTGAGGGGTTTCGTTTGTTTTACCGCCGTCAAAAAGAGAGAATTCTGTTTAAATTTTGTTGTCTCGGCGTGGGATGCTTGCCATGGGAGACGTATCGGAAGATCAACGTTGTTATCGAGTGATTCGTTTCCCCAAAGAACTTGAGCCGTGGCGGACGCACCCCTAGAGGGTTTCTTCTTTGATCAGTGTCTCAAAAGGGGAAATGCTGCGCATTTGTTTGATGTTGGGCGGTGCAGTCTTACCTTGACAACTTCATCGAATGAAACACATCGCCATCAATGTCGTTTTCTTCCCGAATTTGTTTCGCGGCGAACGCACCCATTTTTTATTTAATACATATATATATATATATATTGTTGTTTTTGTTTTTTCTCTCTCTTATGGTCGTTCAAAAAAGGGAAGCTATTCTTTTTTTGTACATTCTGGGCGCGAGGTTACTGCCGTTGGAAACACAACGGGTGAAAGTTAGCAGCCTCTGCTTCAATTGCGTAAGTAATATCTTACACGGCGTGCGCGCGCCCTGAATAGGTAAGCGTATTCTGCATTTTGTTTTGGCGCTGTGTCTGTTTGCCAGGGCGCCGGAGTCTAAATAAGTAGAAACTGTAGTACTGCGAACATTTAGCGACCCGAAATGAGTCCACCACCTCCTTCCAAGCAGGGTGGCGCGCACATCAATATGAGGCGACGGTTTGAAGAGTCATGGGCGCAAGCTCCATGCGGGCCCCTGATTTTTTGTGGGTATCCATCTTTTGGGTGCCCCCGTCGCCCGCTCTTCGCGCAACCAACGCCTTCGCTTAACGCGTGGTGTTGCCCGTGGTTTTGTGCGCGAGTTTGGGCGGGGCAGCGGGGGAATCCACTTTTGGGGGCTGGCCGCCGCCCGCTCTTCGCGTGCTTCGCGGTTTTGCTCAGCGCGCGTTGTTAGTCAGCGGTTTCACAGGGGGTGTTTCAACGAGCTAGCAGGGGCATCGATTTTTGGATGACCCTGCGATCGCCTTCGTCGCTTTCTGCTTGCGCTTGCAACAGTGGCCGCGACGCGCGTGTGCAACGTGTGCATCTGCATCTTCGCGTATCGACTGCGCCCGTTGAAAATGATTGCATCTGGTTAACAAGTTGTTGCTATTCCCGGGGGTCTCGCGCCTTTCGTGCGATTTGATTGCGCGTTCATCTTAGAACTTATACTGTATACTAGGGGAGAACCTTCGCGCTTTTGCTTAACGCGTGTTAGTTATAGGTTTGAAGAGGGAGCTTCGACGAGCTAGCGGGGGCATCCATTTCTGAATGCCTCCGTGATCGCCTTCGTTGCTCTCTGCTTGCGCTTGCAACAGTGGCCGCGACGCGCGCGTGCAACGTATGCGTCCGCATTTTCGTTTACCGACAACCCCACTTGAAAGTGGCTGCAAATGGTTAGCAGGTTGTTGTTATTCCCGAGGGTCTCGCGCCTTCCGCGCGACGTGCTTGCGCTTTCATCTTATAATGTATACTCGGAGAAGGCCTTGCCTGACACGCATCGCTTGGTTGTGTTGCATTGACACTTGCGCGGGTCGAAGGATTATTTTTTTGCATTTCTTTCCGCCTCGATCATCCGGCTTTGGTATTTTAGCTTCCCAATGCTTCCCAGCGCATGAAAAGGCGCACCCTTTCTCCGACGCCCCGAATGCGACGATGACGACAACGCTGCAGACCGCTTCGAGGAACCGCCGCCGCCCCCGCCCTCGCCAGCAGATGCTCTGGGCGGCGCTATAGGAGCAAGCGACCCGCCGAGGCAATGACGCGCGCGGGGGGCAATTTCATCCCCAAGAAGGGGAAGCCAGGACGTGTGCTCGCCCGAAGAAGTTGTGCAAGGAGAAGTGGTCCAGTGCATGGAAAAAGACCCCATGTGTTCGCCACGGCATAACTGCGCGATCTCGCAGAGATCGCGCCACCTGGGCCTGGAATGTGAACGATATCGTGGCTGCCAGTGAAGAGGCTCTGATTTCGCGCCTCGCCGTGGATGGCTTCCCGAAGAATTGGGCTCAGTGTCATATAGTGTCATTGTCCGCGTTGCGGCGAGGAGCGGGTCGGCCCGCTTCAGCAGCGCGCCGGCGGTGCCTGGGCATATAGGTGTATGAAACGTGGGTGTCAGCGGTTCATCCTTCCTCATGCTCAGCACCCCGTTTTCACGGCGGGGTCTGGCTTCAAAATTGCTTTGAAGCCAGATTCGGGTCCTATCCGGGCTCATCTTGACGCGCTCGCAGAATCATTTGCTGTGGGGGGGCAGCGCCAAGCTCATCGGCGATATGTCAAAGCGACTCGACGCTTGCCTGGCGAAGGACGTCGTCGCCCGAGAGAAAAGTATCACATTTGGAGACAATCTCAAGAAAGACTGGCGCGACGTCGAAGCGGACGAGGTCGACTTGGGAAAGGAGTTCGTCGCAGATAGCGCCAGGGAGAAACTCAGATGGCTGCAATGGGCGGGCGTAGTCGAGCGGGGCAGACCAAGAAACTTAAGTAACATTTTTGCGAACGAAACCCAAACTTACGAGCAGGAGGGCTCCTGGTCCGGGGCCTATCAAGAAATCATATTGGTACCCCATGGCGAACAAATGGCTGAAGGGGCGCAAGGTTCTTTTGCGCACTGACGGCGCCCGCTCGTGCACATTGGGGCTGAACTGAAAACCATCTTGGACGGCGTCATCCACGATTGCGTGACCCACAGGCCCGAGAAAGACGGGAAAATCCTGCGCCCCAAATGCGCGCAGCTCTTCGCTCACAACATTGAAGGGTTTACCGCGTACACGAAGAATGGGACCCAGATGGTTGATCGGTGTCGGCAGCATATTCGTAAGTTTGTAGGCAGACG